GCGTGCGCTCGCCAGACAGACAGAGAGAGACATAGAGACAGAAAGCGAGAAATCACCCCCCAGGGGGGATGATCACGCTGCAATCCCTTCTCCTCCATTCTCCTCTCGGGATCTTGGGCACGCACGCACACGCGCCCGGCGTGAGTTTTAAGCCACCGGGTCCGGGACACGAACTGCGGTCGACTACGTGGGAGTCCAGCGACATAGCCATTACGCTAACTGCTGGTTCCCTCCTCTTATTTCTCGATGAGTAGGCTATAACAACTTTCCCTCTCTGTCTCTTTTAGGTAAGTGCAAGCACCCTATACCAAAAATTCAAATAAATAAATAAGAGATATTCCCTATGATAAAGGACTAATTCATCAAGAAGACACTACTATCTTAATGTGAATGCATCAGGTAACAGACCTTGAAAAATACAAAAGCAAAACAAAACAAAACTGATGGAATTGAAAAGACAAATAGACAATTATGGTTAGAAGATTGCAACATCCTCCTCTCAGTAATTAGAAAAAAAGAAGAAATGAACATCGATAATCGATTTGGGTTATTAAAAACTTACTAGAACTGCTTTCCTATTTCTTTGTTTGAAAATGAGTGCCTCTCAAATATGACACGAGCATGGAACTGAACAAGTTCCTAGTTTGCAGCTTTCCTTCCTGGAAAGTTGTTCCTCACTTACAAAACGAGTGAGCACTACTTTATCCTCTGGATGTGCTGGCAGTCGGAGCAGAGCAGAAAGCAGGCTGGACACGATAAAGGACTGCAGACTCTGGCTGTGGTTCCCTGCCTTTGCCAGGAGAGCTAAGACACAAGATTCACCTGAGTGTTACAGGCCAGGCACCATCACTCGCCAGCCTTCCTGCTTCCCTGACAGCTGGGTGTGCAGCTAGCCTGCCAGGACCTGCTCGGGTGAACACGTTTCTGAGTGGGGAAGGCTGTGGATTAGAAATAAACGCAATAACAAACACACACAGACACACAAGTATAGAAAAGCGAGGATCGGGTGGGCACAGCTTCTCTGATGGAGAAGTTGCGACCAGAACCAGCCTCAGGTTTATTCTTTCAAAGGGCAGAAAATGGGGGAAGGGGAAAATGGAACGCAAAGAGAATGGGGGCAGAGGAAATGGAACGCAAAGCCAGCTGTTGGATGTACATCATCTGAAGATGTGAAAACGACTGGCGCCATGTAATTTCTCTCATCTTTTTGGGGCAAAATCTGACAAACACATGTAGCTTCCTAGTGCCCAGCAGCATCGGGTACCGATGGCAGGAAGACAACGGTAATAGGCAGACAGCGCTTTCCTGTGTACGCGCTCTCAGCAGCCATTGCTAGAGTAGCTCACAGAGCAGCCACGCATTTCTGCATGGTCTTAAAGGTCTCGTTTCCTCAGCCTGCCCTCTACACTGGCTCCTGCCTGTGGTCTTAGCACTTGATACCTCATGTTCTGTGCTTTGGTAGGGCAAACGAAAGAAACTGTAAGTTTCAAAAACAATGCTTCAGTATCAACTTGCACCCCAAAGCTGCTCCTTAAAATTTCTGCCAGGAACCTTTTTCCCAATTACCCTGGTGTTCTATTCTGGACTTCTTATTTCTGTTGTGTGATTTTCTCTGTGGTTCCCTGGCTTCTTTGGATCCAACTCCTTACACTCTGACCCAACCACCAGCCACACCTTTCTTCAGGTCTGGGCTGCATATAGACCCACGTGGGCTCATGGGGTTCTGTCTGGCCTGAGGCATCTTTACCGGCTGCCAAATTCTGGTTCTAGTCTTCCCGGACATGCTTTGGTGCTACGTCATGACATGACTGGACCTACTGCTATCAAAAAGGGGCAAGGGACATTTGCTCAGCAGGCCGCTTGTGTTAGGGAAACTTGGACAGGTTTTTAAGGTGAACAAAGGAAAACACACAGGATAAAGGCAGAATCAGCAGCACAGCTAGACAAGGAAGAACAGTGCCTTCGACTTAGCAAGAATCTTGAATCAGACTGAATGCATCGAGAATATTCAGTTCATAGCATCACACGGAGATACACGTGCCACAGTCCTGTAGGAGGGAGACGGGGAAGGCAATATGCCTGAAGAGCACCCCCAGTGGAGTCTGCACACCCAGGACATCCACTCAGGGGTCATCTCCCAGCCCCTTTAGAGGCGTCTCTTCCCACTGGTTCTGCAGTACTACTCCTGAAGCCTTGTCTCTATCTGTGAGACAAGGTATGTTCCAGGATGACCAACTGCAGAAACCCCTCCAGCACTGCCTTCTGCTGTGCTGGGGCATACCTGCCCCGACCCTGGGTTTGGAGACCTTGTAGTCCGGGGTAGTTCTGGCTGTCACCACATACGTACACGAGTGCTTCTCAGATGTCCGTGTGCACCACGACCACCTGGGAGCTTACGTGTCTTCTTCAGCTTGCGTCTGAGCCACGGTGGGCCAAGACTCTGCAGCCCCAGCAAGCTCTCCTGAATGCTGACGTGTGGCCCATGCGCTCAGGAACAAGGCCACAGACCACACCTATGCAACTCTGAGAGCCCAGCCCACATCTCCACACACTCCGGATCTCTCAGCACGGAGCTTCACAGGACTTAGACATCCCGGTGTTCATTCATGACAGTTCACTCAGTGGGACTTGTTTATTCCGAGTGTTATCGACCCCAGTGCATATTGAACTTACCCAGAATTCCTGTAGCTCTGTTAGGTGGCTGATATTTTCAATCTTTTTTATTCTATTTGATGCAATGTCCAACATCGTGAGTTTGTTCTAAAATAAGGAAATAAAATTGTTCCTGGATTACCTCAATTCAACAATGACTGTGTGACCATGCACAGAGTGACAAGCGCCAAGCTCCATGCTGAAGGGCAAGCCACCCTCTTTGCCTTCACAGAGTGGGAACATGCTACCGAGGTGGGGGGCGGGGTCCAGCCTGCCTCCGGCACCCCAGCCCTGGCTTCGGCGTCTCCACATGGAATGCCTATGGCTACCGCACTGAGCTCGTCCGGCCTGACTCCGGCCCCCCAGCCCTGGCTTCGGCGTCTCCACATGGAATGCCTATGGCTACCGCACTGAGCTCGTCCGGCCTGACTCCGAGAGCCGTGTGCTCCCCAACCTCCCGATGTAGGACCCGTGAGATGGGACTGTCGGGGAGAGCACAGTGAGGCCTGGGGCTCTGGGCTGGGCACCAAGGCCAGTGACTTAGTGCTTATCGTGAGGAAGTGGACAAAGGCAAGGGACCTCTGAGCCAGGATCTCCTCACTTAGTGAACAGGTGGGCACACAGCCCAGGTCAGGGGGGCACTCTCCAGCCCCAGGCCCAGGCTATCGGCAGACACCCCTTCAGCTGGCCAGAGGCCACCACAGAGGGTGCAGAGGACTGAGAGCCCGCATGCGGGGAGCAGATCTCGTGCTGTGGTGGAACCCACAGTGGATAGGGCTGACCAAGGACATCGTGCAGGGAGCCCTGATGTCCTTGTAGGGGCAGGTGTTAAACCAGAAGCACTGGCTCCCCACAGCCTCTCACTGAAAACTGTGCCTCACACACACCAGAGAAGCTAGGCAATACTTCGTTATGTCTAGAGTGTTTCAAGATTCAACAGAATAACTCTGCCGTGAAAACTGTAACTTGCAGTGTTTTCCTCAATATATCTGATCAATTCAACTGGCAAGTCCTCCAAGACTCAGGAGGAGAATGTCACCTGCTGCCAAGAGCCTCCGAGGCGAGGTGCTGACTCCCCTCCTCAGGGCCCTAATTGCTAATCCTCCCCTACCAGTCACTGATCACTGAGGGTTCTTTTCCTCTATTTTCCATGCATTCCAGTAACCCCAGATCCCAAATCCTCCCAAGCTTTAAGGTAGAGTTAAAAAACATGTCTTCATAAAATAAAAACAAACCACAGGCCCTCCCCAGAGCCTGCCGTCAGCAGCCTGCGGACTGAGCAGCACTCCTGCCGTGACTCTGTGCTCTGGGGAGGGCCTGCCACTGCCTCCCACTCCGGGGAGCACACGGCCACCTGAGGCTCTGCAAGGCTGGGCACAGGTGCAAGCTGAGGCAGTTGCTCCAGCACGGCATCGTGTGCCCATCTTGGCCCAGGGCCACACGGTGCTGGGAGTGTGAGTACCTGCGGAGCAAAATGGGCCCAGGAGGGCTAAGCGGAGGGTGCGCCCACATGGCAGCAGGGCCGGCAGGGCCGCTCAGCAGGCACTGCACCTTCCATGGTGCTCGAGGGTCATCTCAAGAGCAGGTCAGAAACCAGACAGGCGGATGTGGGCCGAGCCCCACAAGTCCATGCATGGAGGCTCAGCACAAGGGACAGAGAGCTAACGGGGGCTCTGGCTGGCAGAGGGGCTGACCTCAGCACTCTGGGATCCGTCTCACACCCAAATCCCTCTCACGTCTCCCTGGGATGCTGGGCGATGCTTTGGAAGCCCACTGGAAGTAAACCAGTAAAGCTTGCTTCAAAACAAGAGGGCAGCGTGTGGAGAGCGGCACACCAAGGGCACAAAGTCCCACGAGGCCACCAAGGCCCTAGCAGCGGGGACACTTCGACCACGGGGAAGAGAGTGACAGTGCAGAAGCCACCTCCAGAACTCACCTGGGCCAGACCCCGGGTGGCCCGGAGACGGGGCCGGGGTTAGCACTTGCCTTCGCAGTAAGAGGCATATTTACCTCCTGGCCTCCCCACAAGACAGGCCCCAGACTGAGCAAAGCCCTGATGAAGACATGGGGGAGGCTGTCCCCATGTCTGTAGAGGAAACCCAGAAGATTGCCCGTGGCCCAGTGAGCACCACAGTGGCGCTGCCACCTTCAGCTCAGCATGGTCTGCCATGCTCTGTTCTGTCTCAGAGGCCCGATGGCAGGTGTCCCCCACGGTCATGGTGCCGTGCTCTGTGAACCCTGTGCTGCTGCTGGCGCTCCTATTCACCTGAGGCTGTGCTGCCCATCCAACCCCTCTGCAGCAGGCCCACCTCCAGCACTCTGGCAGCTGACCACAGGACTGGCAGAGACAGGCCTGGAGCGGGAGATGGCTGGGCCATGGCGTGCACACCCTGCCCTGCCAGGTGCCAGGGTCTCGGGAGGCAGTGCCACTGCTCCAGTCACAGCCCCACTCTTGGCAACGCCTTGCAGAAGTGAGCACCCGGCTCACATGCTGGTTTTGTCAACTCAGTGTGACCAGAGTTGGAGCAAAGTGGCCAAACTTTCCCCAGAAAACTCTGAATTCCCTGAGTTTGTGCAGTTCTTGGTGAACTGAAATCCAGAACACGACGTCTCCCCCAAGGCTATGTCACTAGGGGCAGAAGGCCCAGGTCCGAGGCAGGAGGCCAAGGTGCCTTCCATGCAACTGAGCACGGCGTTTACCAGGAGCAGTGGCCAGGCTGAGTGCACTGCTGGCAGTTCAACAAAACAGAAAAAAATCCAGTGACGTTGAACGAGAAAAAGTATTTTATTTGTCTTGGATACTGCACTGAGGAAAACCAGGTGGAACTGTAGTGTCTGAGAAGAGGGGGCTTCTGTGCACAGGTACCTCTCAGTGGTCCCCAGACTGGGCAGAAGGGCTGGGAGGGCAGGGGGAGGAGGGGGAGAAGGTGGGAGGGAAAGCTGGGAGGAGGGGCCGTGGCAGGGCTCCAGTGAAGAGCCCAGCAGCCTTGGGCCCTGGGGCTAAGAAGTGGGGTGGCTAAGAAGTGGGGCGAGCCAGCTGCACTGCGGCCTGGGGCTGGGAGTGGACTGGGTTTGCTGGCACGTCTTCCACAGTGCCCAGAGAGCGTGCGCGCAGTGAGCACCACTCGAGAGGCACCTGCCACGTTGGCCCTCTGACTCCCACTCAGGGCAGAGGGCACCTGGGGAGAGCTCCCTCGGTTCTTGCCTCTCCATCCGCACAAGAACGTGGGCCTACCTGAGGCCAGCTTTGGAGGCCGGCGGCCCCTGCCCCCACCGCCCCGCTGCCCTGCCCCTGTCGCCGCCCTGCCCCTGCTCCAGAGCAGTAGACATCTTACATTGTTCTCCAGGCCCTCGATGACCTCGATGCCGTTGTGGCTGAGGTACAGCTCCCGCAGGTTCACCAGGCTCTGCAGACCCTCGATCTTGGTCAGCCGGTTGCTCTGCAAGAGGGGAGCCGACAGTTTAGCAGTCAGGGCGGCCACGAGGACCATGCAAAGGCTTTCAGAAAATGAGCTTGCCTGTTTTTTTTAACAGAATGATTTAACTTTGTTTATTATTATTATTATTATTATTATTATTATTATTATTATTATTCAATCTGACCAGAAAGACAGAGAGAAAGAGGAAGAAAGCAAGCCACCAGGTCCAGGACTCAAACTGTGGTCAGCCATGTGAGAGTCTAGCACCTTAACCACCCTGCCACCTGAAGGCCCCGGAAAAAAAGCTTTCTTACTGTCAGGGAGAAGTCTAAAAATAGGGCACTGAATTTAAAATGTGCTAGAATGGGACCTGGGTAGAGAAAAAGATGATCAAACTATTCATGCAGGAGACTTACAAGGTTTTACGTAAATGTGCTTTTTTTAGATGTACTCGGGGAGGGCTTACCTGAATTTTAAAATGCCAGAATTAAACATTTTAAAATAAACTGATCCTGCTTTCTTTTAGTACACATTACAATTCAAGTTAGACATGCGGGCCCTCTTTTCACAGATGTCTGTGGAGTACCCTTCCCGCTGGTGTATGGACCCACCACTCCAGGTCTGGCCCAGAGCCCTGGCACAGCTCACCTCCAGGGTCTGATCAGTTTCTGACGGAACGGGAGCACGAGCCCAGGCACACTCAGGGACTGCCAGTCTCTGCCCAGGCCGCAGTGTAAGCTCTGGCCACGTGGAGGCCGTGGCTTCTGTCATGAAGTCAGGTGTGCTAGGAGGACTTGGAATGAGCCTGGTCTGCCCAAGACAGCCCTTCCGCTAAGCAACCTGACACCAGCTGGGGGAGCGTGACCTCAGTTCGGTGTGTGCGCGTGCACAAAGCCTGTGGGCTCCGACATCTCAGTGCACCCTGCCAGGGAGGAGGAGAGCTGCCGCGGGCTTGCGGTCGGCTCGGGCCGGAGGGCGGGGCTTGGTACCTGCATACTGAGCACCGTCAGGTTGGTGAGCGCGTCCAGGTTCTGGAGTTTCGTGATTTTGTTCTTCCCCAGAAACAGACTCTCCAGGTTGCTTAGTGAGTCGATGTTCTCAATCGCCTGTGAAAAGACGGCACGAGGTGAGCACGGGCAGCTGCGAGCCGAGGGGACGAGGCTGCCTGGAGTGTGGTTCTGCAGCGACCTCTCTGGGACTGTCTGCGGGACCCAGCCGCAGAGCTAAGGGGTTTGGGGACAGCTGAACACTTGTGGCCTGGCCGAGTGCTTATGCAGCCGCAGCTCTGCACTTCTGGCCATTCTCTGATGCCGTGCTGTCACCATGCAGTCTCTGCAGGAGCAGCATGTTGCCAGCTGGCACCAGGTCTTGATACTGGAGCGACTTCTCAGGACCTTGGGTCACCAAGCGCCTCGTGCTCAGCTTCCAAGCCCTCCTCCACTGCTCTGCCCACTGTAGTCACTTGAGCCTGTCTTCAAGCCTAAGCCCATAGGTGGCCCTTGTTGCCCCAGCTGGCCGCCCAGCTGCTCCCTGACTTGACCTCAGTTTCCTTCCTCCTCTGCCCACATCACTCACGTGGCATTTCAGTAGACAGAATGACCCGAGTCCAGCCAATGAGCGTGGTCCAGCACATGCCAAAGGGGCAGCTCACCCGCCCTCACGGCACCCAGGGCCGGAGCCAATGCCCACCTGACGTGCCCCTTGTCCCTCCACAGTACCCTCGTAAGGTACTGGATGCAGTGGTGACACCCAGGCTCGCTAGTTTTGAACGCGTGCTCTCCCCATAACTATCGGCTCCTGCCGAGATGCCACTCCGGGCCTGGTGTCCTGCCTGCTCTCTAGCCCGGCGTGTAACCACGATGACCCCTAGAGGACAGAGGGAATGTGGGCTCAGAGACACCTGCCTCAGCTGCCAAGCAGGCCTGGCTGGGAGCATGGCCTGCTGCAGGACCCTGTCTAGGGTGCCGGGCAGAGGCTGCAGTGGCCTTGGGCTGACAGCAATTCCTCTCTGCCATGGGGACCCCTCCTCTGTCTAGCAGCCCCCCGCGGGGCCCTCTAACAGATGCCACGGACTCTTCCTAAGGCTCCAAGTCAGGGTCATGGCTTGTCTTTGTGTCTGTGGACCACACACGGCTTCTGAAGGGCTCTCATTCCCACCCTGCCCCATTCTTCCCAGGTCAGATGCGTCCTGGGGAACGGGAGATGTGGACTGGCTAGGGACGCACCTGGGGGTTGCTCAGCCTTCCATGGCTTGGTACCATGTTCTGGGGCACCTTCTAAAGCCCCGGAGTGGCTGTCATTCCCTGCAAGTGACCACTTCAAGGTTCCTGGGCAAAGAGGCCAGGGGGAGACAGTGAGCCTGGGCATGATCACAAGACGCAGTCCGGGGCTGGTCAGTTCACCCAGGCCAGGTGCCCAGGCCAGTCTGGGGCAGGGTCCTGATGTGGACTGAGTGTAGCTGGGCTGGACGTGCAGAGGAAGGCTGGGCCGCATGGCACGGGCAGGTGTCACAGTGCTGAGGCCCAGGTAGCACGTTTCTGACAGAACAGTAACTTCCTGCTCCCGGAGGAAGTCACACACAATACCGAAGCCTGCCACACACCCCCACGCACAGCCAGCCGAGAGCTGCCTCTCCCTCCCCAGCAGGACACACACCCGTGGCTGTGCTCCTACCCGGATGCGGTTGGACCCCAGCTCCAGCATCTGTAGCTGATGTAAGCTGCTTATGTTCTCAATTTTATTGATTTTATTGTTGACCAAGAAGAGTTTCTTCAGTCGTGTCAGCTTGTCGACCCCTTCGATGGTCCTTAGTAGATTAAAAGAAATATCTAGAACCCTAGAAAAGAGCAGAGAAGGTGTTTTTTAAAGAACTGTTTTATTTTAACTTTATTTATTTTAATTTGACCAGAGAGAGACAGAGTGAGAAAGAGAGGGAAAGTGAGAAAGCAAGTCGTCTGGTCTGGGACTTGAACCATGGTCGGCATTGTGGGAATCCAGCGCCCTCAATCACCACGCCACCTGCTGGCCCCAAAAGCAGAGAACATTTTAACAAAATGAGCAGAAAACTCAGGGTTTCACTTGGAGATGGCACCTGCTCTGGGGGCTGCAGCTGACGGGGCAGGACTTGCTGTTGCCCTGGTTCACGCTGATGCTGCCATAAGGCGAGGCTGCTTGGGGAACGCCAGTAGGCTGACGCCCTGGCCCCCGGGACCGTATCTGGGCAAAAACCACACTTCCCTCAGGGCTGGTCTGCACTCAGCAGGGACCTGAGAACTGCAGCAGGAAGAGCGAGCGAGCGAGAAGGGGCAGGCGTCCTCACAGACGTCCAGGCCTGGCCTGGTCAGAGGGGCTGTGCCTCCCCATCAGCAGAGCATGCTCACGGTGCTGGGCTCCCTGCTCCCTGACTGCAGAGATGAGCCGGAGCCCCTCTGCCTCCCCACCCAAGGTCTGCTTTCGGAGTCAGTGCCCAGCAAACAACGGCACCTCTGGAGCCCTGAACTTGGCGTAGACCCCTGGGAGCCAGGGCGGGGCCCAGGGGCTGACCCTCCACCTGGGCCTGCCCACCGCCTGGTGTCCTCGGGCTCGTGACTCACTCCAGCTCCGTCAGCGCCTCCAGGTTTTCGATCTTCTTGATCTGGTTGTCATAGAGATCCAGCTCTCGGAGGCTCTGCAGCTCCTCTAGGTTCTCAATGCATTTGATTAAGTTCTGACGGAGGCAGAGAGTCTAGGGGACAAGACGGTGCCAACTGTTAGCAGGGGACAGACGAGCCTTCCTGCTGGAAGGGGGCCCGCCGTTCTCCTTCTGCTTTCCAGGGAGAGGCAGCTGGGCAAGGCCCAGGCCAGTCCTGCGCTGCCTCCCCTGAGCACGGCCAGGTTCCAAGCCAGGCCGCCCTCTGGGGTGGGAGCCTGTGTCATCTCTTGGCAGTATGGAAGAACCCTGTGGGCTCAGTTTGGGACTATGAAGGTAGGCGAGTGCTTACAGGAACGCTCAGGACTGAGGCTGGCCCGAGTACCAGGCTGCGCCAGGCTCCTGGACTGGGATCGCCTCAGAACTGCCTTCTGCTTCCAGGGGAAACGCAGGTGGAGCCTGCATGGGGCGGGGGCACGGACTCTAACCAGGACTGACTTCTCTATTCTCTTTGGGTGTACCACGCAGTCGCTTACACAAGGACAGAACTCCTCTCACCTTCACTTTCTTCAGCACCTCGAATCCTTCAATTTTCCCAATGCGGTAGTGATTCAGGTCAACATCCTGAAACAAGGAACCCAACTCAGGGATGGAGAGGGCCTGCTGGGGGCGGGGACGAACGTGGGAAGGCAGGGCGGGGCTGTGCAACGATGAGGCAATGCGGGTACCCTGCCAGCTTCTGGGGTAGCTGTACTGCTTACAACTTCGTGGAAACTGACCGTTGCAGTGATAGGCGCCTGGCACCTTCCTTCCCCACTGGCCTGCTTGAGCACAGAACACAAGGCCAGGCTCCGGGGAGGTGCATGCCCAACATGCCACCCTCAGGGCTCAGCCGAAGGCCCGAGGCCAGCGGTCAGGCTGCACGTGGGTCTGTCCTTGTGGCAGACTTCCACATGCATGCTTTCCAGAGCTTGGGGGTGCTGGGACCCCACCATGGGTGACATGTCCTTGGATTCGTGTGACTTATGATTTGGGGCAACCTCATCTGCCACACGGTTTTCACTGCTTAAACAGAAATGGACTTGCAAGCGCTAGAAGTGAGCAGTCAGGACCTGGGATCTGACCCAACCAAAGGAGGCTCAGGCGACTCTCCATTAATCTAGTACCCTCTTAGCAGTAACCTGCCAGTTAGGGTGGTCTGTCACATGGCCCCTGGACTTGGGGGGCAGCATTACCTCTGCATCGTGGTCTAGGTTAATGGTCTCCATGTCCACAGGCAGCTCGTGCTCTCCTGGGAGAGGAAACGAGAAAGAACAGCCCATCAGAACCTACCATGGAGGGCACGGCCTGGGCAGTGGCTGAGACCTGGGTGGCATGGCTCAGGAGCAGGCCCATGGCAGACCAGCAGAGAACCACACCGAGAACTGGGAGGCGTGGCGGCTGAGGCCTGTTCCCACAGCGCAGATGTCCGAGCACTCTGGGTTTCCTGAGCTCAGCTGTGGGCAAAGGTCTCCAAACCTTCACCTGCACCCCTGAAATTTCCAGGAAAGGAAACGTAGTTGGAAGTCATGGCAGAAAGGAGGACGGAGGCTCAGCAGGCCATGGGTGAGCTGGTCAGCCTCAGGAAGCACCAAGCCATCTCTGCGGCCAGCTTCTCATGATGCCCGGCGCTGGTAGCGGCCAGCCCCTGCCTGCCCACATACTCTCCTGTTTGTGGCACTAAAGTAGGCCATTTCAATATAGATCGTGTCAGGCACATCAGATGTTCTCGGGTGTGCCTTTTACTGCTTTGGAAAGTGGCCTGGCATCTACAAACGCTCCTCTGCAAAGAAGAAGCAAAATGAAGCATCGCTTGAGACAGGATCAAAGCGCCTCACTGAATAATTTAAACCACTTCTTAGCTGGTGAACTGACTCCAGCAGAGAAGCCCGTTTGAGTCCACGAGGCCTCTCTCCGTTCCCCGCAGCCCTTCTCATTTCATTAGAGCCTGCGTAAGCATCTCTGTCAAGAGGACCGAGATGCGCATGGACATGCACGCACAGGTATGCACACACAGCATGCCCACACACACACGAGCCCTCAGGACACTTCAAGAGCAACAGTGGTGCCTCCGTATCACCGAGCGTCTAGCCATCACTCACACTGCCCTACTATCTGACTTCCTTCTCCATGTGAGCGCGGCCGTGACGACACGGTATTCCTCTTAAACTTCTTCCCTTGCAATGTTTGTTCTTTCTTTCTTTTCTCTTTTTAGTTTGCTATATGGCATGTACGCTCGCCAGAGACAGAGGGAAAGTGGGAAACCACCCCCTGGGGGGATGGCCACACTACAATCCCTTCTCCTCCGTTCTCTTGGGATTCTGGGCATGCACGCATACACACCTGGGTTCGGGACACAAACCACACAGTCGGCCACGTGGGATCCAGCACCTTACCCCTACACCACTGGCTGGCCTCCCTTGCAAGGTTCTGTTGGGAGAAAAGACGCGGCTCACCTGGCAGTGTCCTGCCAGCCGCTCTGCATTTCCTCACTATCTTACCCGGGTTCCTACTACCGCACGGCTCCCCTACAGCAGGGCTGCATTTGCTCCTCTGCGGGCAGCACCCACAGCTGCAGACTTCACCCAATGCCGGCATGTCCCAAGAGTGAGTGAGTGGCCTGTGTGTCAGCCAGCCTAGCTCCTTGGTGGGAGGCCTCAGAGCTTCACAAGGGACCAGAGAAGTAAATAAAAGGAACCGGGCGAAGAGCTACCCCCAAGTATCCACCTCACTCACAGCCAGCACACACTGGGAGCTCCAGGCAGGATCCCGGAAGAGGAACTACAATGCAGGCAGTGTTGCCTAGTGTCCAAAGGACACTGGGCCTGAGGGGGCACTGTGGGCTGGTCAGGGGCCAGTAGGGGAAGCTGGGGCGGCCCCAGGCTTTACAGGACACTGGTTTGCATCCCGTCCAGCACTACCTCCGGGACAGTCACTGCCCAGGACAGCCTTCTCAGTGTGGCACATGTCAGTCACTAGTCTAAGGAGGGGGAGTAGGCAAAAGCTCGCAGCTGACGGGTCTGAACGTGTGTCATTTGAACCAAGGACCTAAATAAAACGCGGGAGCTAGTCCTGGTCTCTCAAAGGACTAGGAATGCACAGCCCTAGAGTGTGTAACCAGCACACTCTGGAGAGGAGCCCTTGCATTAGACAAGCAGGCTCAGGGGCCAGCCTGCACGCTTTTGGGCGAGCCACGCTTCTGTGCCACTGTCATCATACGTGACGTCAGTCACATGTCGGACTGTGCTCACGAGCCAGGAAAAGGCACACGCAGCACTCCGCCAGCTCTCAGGCTCCCGAGGCTGCCGTCCCAGTTGCAGGTCTGATCACGGCCGGCACTCGGCCTGTGACGAGCCTGACGACGACACCGCTCCCACCCACAGCGCCCCCAGAACATACTCTGAAGTTCCCAAGTACACGCACGGTGCTTTTGTGGTAATTTTCTTTTGCTTGAAAATTAGGTTGCTATAGTTACCAATCGTCTTTGCTGGCACAGAGAACATGATGTTATTTTAAAAATTCACGTTTCCTGTACATTTATTTTTATGAGGGTAAATATGCAACTATTAATATCTGAAAACTGCATGCACGCTGTATACGGACCTAGCAAATGCAAACTGTACAGATCCCGCTCATGCCTGCGGCCCAGAGACCCTGGGTGACTGACTGATGCCGCTTTTTCCTTAAACAGACAAAATGATGTGTTCATGTTTCTAATTAAAAATAAGGTTTTGGGAACCAGCAGTTAGCGTGATGGGTATGTCGCTCCCACGTAGTTGATCGCGTGTGCATGCGTGCCCAAGATCCCGAGAGGAGAATGGAGGAGAAGGGATTGCGGCGTGACCATCCCCCCTGGGGGGTGATTTCTCACTTTCTGTCTCTATGTCTCTCTCTGTCTGTCTGGTGACGCATGCACCCTATAGCGAAAATCTCTCTCTCTCAAAAAAAAAAAAAGGTTTTAACGTGTTTACTATTGAGACATTTACTTTTTTCACCCAATAACATATCTTGGACACCTTTCTGTATTCATGTGGTTTCCTCTTTCTTTTTGATGCAAAAAAGGCTCGTGCCACAGTCAGGAAGAGGAAAGCCGTCAGCACGGGCTGCATGTTTACCCTGTCCCCAAGTTTATTCTGTTGTCGCTCACTAAAACAAAAGGAGGATATTAGGCTGCCTTCCACAAAATATAAAGAAAGAAAGAAATAAAAGAAAGAAATAATTCTTAGAAAAAAAAAAAAAGGAAAAAAATAAGACTTACCTAATGCTTAGGCACCTTGGAAATGGCTCTCCCGGTCTATAAACCTGGTGAGGTGAGACAGAGACAGCCTTTCCAGGAGTAGAAAAGCCCCTCTAACAGTGGTAGGACACAGAACACAGCAGTCAGCTGCCTCACGTGGGCCCTGCTTTCTGAACACCTGGTCCGTACTGCAGTCGGCTCCTCCCGGGTGCCACCCTGCCATCAGTGCTGTGAGCAGCACTTGCCGTCAGTGGAGTGAAAAGAACGCGTACTTCCTGCGAGTGCCACAGACACGTCACTGATGAGGTGTAGTCCCAGCCACTAAGAGCCTCTCCCCAGAACCAACAGGATACCATGTCGTGGGGGGACAGAGCATGCACAGCCCAGCCAACACCTGGCCACAACACACACGCCCCCTGGAACCCGGCCGGTACCTTCTGGGTCCTCTCCGCCCCGCTCCTCGCCATCCTTCAGGCTCTGCTCGCTGAGGTCGGCCACGATGCCACTGCTATGCTTCTTTCCTTCCTCATCGCCCGACTCTTCGGATTCGACCCTCCTGTCAACTGAAACCACACACAGTGTAAGGGTTCCTACCCACTTATGTGACCATCTGAGCGTCACACCACAGCCAGAAGCCCCACTCTAAGTCAAGAAGACTAACTGCCCCACAAACAGGTCATTGGTGTTAAATGACACTGCATAGAATGCTATCGACTCAAACTTTTTCAAGTCTGGCAAAGTGTCTTTTTAAATTAATGATTAAATATGGCAGGTTGGTAAAAATTCTTTGGCCAGGGTTGGTACAATGCACAGACCTCAGAGAACAACAATCAGGGTTGAATTAGAAAAGACACACAAGCCAGGTGGCCCAGGCCCAACCTACAGTTGATACATATTTATTTTTAAGAGAGATTTTTTCTATAGGGTGCGTTCACTTGCCAGAGACAGAGAGACAGAAAGTGATACATCACCTCCCAGGGGGTTGGACATGCAGCAATCCCTTCTCCTCCATTCTCCTCTAGGGATTTTGGGTGCACACGTGCTGGTGTGAGGTTTAAGCCACTGGGTCTGGGACTTGAACTGTGGCTGACAACGTGAAGTCCAGTGACATAACCATTATGCCATCCACAGCTGATACTCAGTGGACAGGTGTTGCCAGACTCAGGACACTCTGGCCCAGGCTCAGGGAGAGTTCTATAGGGAGCAGTCTCTGTGATGGTCGCAGGAGAGGAGGGGCTCAGCCCAGGAAGGGCAGTCCAAGTGACACCAGGGCAGCTGCTCACCCTGCCAGATGACGGCCGAGGGGCTGGAGCAGTGAAGGCCCGCCTAGGGGATGTGGTCCTGGGCAGTGGTGGCAGAAATGGGGGTGCCTGGGCAGTTCAGATGCCGAGTACAGGAGTGAGAGCTCATTGACTAGCTGACGGGGAGGTGGGAGTGAAGCCTGGCCTGTGTGGGTATCTCACCGGGAAGACAGCAGGCATGCCAGAAGACGACAGCAGGCATGCCAGAAGACGGCAGCAGCAAGGAGGATCGGGGCTTCCGTGCCTAGATGCGGGGTACCAGACGCCCAGACCCTCAGTATCCTCCAGCAACAGCTCTCTCCACATGAATGTGCCGCTATGTCCTCTGGAGTAGCTGACCCTCCCACCCCACACCTGGTGGGGAAGTCGTCCTTAGGGGTCCAGCCTCCAGCTGGCCTAGGGCCCTGGGGCGGCACTTCCGCGGGAGCAGGTGCCTCTCTGGGCCTGCCTCCTCGAGCCCCGAGTCCCGACTATCTCTTCAACTGGAGGGGAGCTAGTCTGCATGCGTGCGTACACACACATGTACAGTGGAACATACATGTGCACGCAAGTCACACATACACACACGAGTAATTTTTCAACAAAGTGGAGGAGAGAGAAAGCGAATTTAGTCTTCCTGGAGCTACAACGGCCTGTAAACGGGCCCTTCTATGACTCGGCCTCCGAGTGCTCGCGCCCTC